TGTTCTGGTTGCACTTACGATTTTCGTAAGTGTTCACTTAAGTGTTGTTTATGCAACAGAAATTGCGGGTGTTGCATAAAACCTTTTTTACGGGAAAAATAGCACGTAAATTTACGGGACCTATGTAGGTCCCGTATCGTTACTGCTTTTACTAAAGTTAACGAGATCTTTTACTGAGAAGTGAAAAAAGGTAATTTTTCTTCACGTAACTCGTTCTAATGGGCTTTGATAACCTCTGATGTACACTCTAAAGCCGACGTTGTGAAAAAAAGAAGAAGAATTATCATTTTCAGTAGACATTGAAGAAAAATAACGATTGCATGCAAATTTCATTTTTTTGAGAGGTTTAAAAGCGTACGAAATGACTTAAAACTTTCTTTACACTCACCGATGGTTAGCTTAAAAGAAAAGAGTGAGTCATTAATAAAATACCATATCAAAGTTACGTGTGCCTTTAAGTGAACCCGTAAGTTACCACGTAAAACAGTAACTTGCGAGAGTGCCAAGTACGTTTCATGCAACACCCGTAAGTGTACCCATAACGGATTCATAAGTGATCTACTTAAGTGGGCACTTAAGTGTAGGTTTTATACATCCGGGCCCAGGCCCGTAGCAGGGGGAGGGGCAAGGGGTGCTCGAGCTCCCCAGAAATTTTCAGACTTGAATTAAGTTCTGCTACAAAAGTGGAATTTTTTCTACTAAAATGGACAGCTGTCAATGGAAGCTGAACTTTCAAACAATTGTTAATCGTCATGCCAGCAACCAATGCCGTTGGTGAAAGATAGTTTTCAGCTTTAAAGTGGGTGAAGAAGTATTTGCACTCAGCAACGGGAGACTCTAGACTAAACCACCTCACGATGTTGCATGTTCACAAGAACAGAACAGATGCTCTGACCCTCGTAGACATAGCTAATGACTTTGTTGGGGAGAAAGAAACCCGAAAGCAATCGTTTGCCAAATTTTCCGCTAACGATATCCCAAACAAGATCTCTATTTCGTCAAAGTCAACACAAACAGAAAATTAGAGACAAAAACAAAAGGTATTGTAGACAAAAGTAGTGATCTGACATGTAGCAAAAAGAATGCTTTAACTGAGGGACCGAAGCGGGGGGTGGGAGTTAATGTGGGCCACTCGCTCAGCCTCCCAAGTCATTTTATGCTTGCTACGGGCCTGTGTAAACACCATGTTAAAGGAGTGGAATAACTTTGTTTTGTTGTTTCTCTGTACAATTTTGTTGAATCAAATACAATGGCAACAGAGTTAGCTTGGTTTCGACTGTCAGACAAGTAGAAAGTTTGTGATGAGTTTAAACAGCACATTTGAAGTCAACAATATGGTGAGATGTCCAGGGAAGAGAGGGAAAATGCAATGAAGCAGATATCTAAGCATTGCCCGGACCCAAATGCCTACAAGAAGAGCTGAAGCTTCAAGTTTACACAACCCTTATCAAGTTCTTCCACCCACACACCATCCACTGTAGTGCCAGTCCCCAGTTCAAGCAGCATTGGTGACCTTGCACAACTGGAGGGTCAGTTTTCTAGAGAAGAAATATCCAGCCTCTCAGAAAAGGCTAAGCCCTTATCCACAACATGGGCTTGTGAGAAGGTTTTCAAACTGACTCATTTTTAGTTGACAGTGGTGCCTCACTTCCTTGAAAAGTACAGCTTTTGAAGAGAAGCAAGTGTTCCTGTTCTTGCAGTTTTTTCAGTTGCAACAGTACCAGTCATCATTGTGTCGCAGTTGCCATGCAAACAGGAAGGGTAAAGCAGAAAGTTGCAAGTTTCCCAGAAAGGAGTTAAACTTGGGTCAGCACATCTGCACCCAAATCAGTTGCAGCCAAAGTGCCACCTCACAAGCGT